TAGCCGGGGACTGGTTGCAGGGTCCTTATGTCTACTACCTGTACAGTACATATGGATATGGAAAAGGAGACATTGGACAGCTATTCATTGCCGGTTTTGGCTCCTCCATGTTGTTTGGAACAATTGTTGGATCTCTGGCAGATAAACAGTGAGTTTACCTCTCTGACCTCTGTTTAATGGTTTCATGCTTGTTAGATATTAATAGCATTTGTTAGCTGATGATGTCTGTAATTTAGGGGCCGAAAGAGGGCATGCGTGACTTATTGTATAACTTACATACTGAGTTGCATCACCAAGCATTCTCCTCAATACAAGGTTTTGATGTTGGGTCGTATTTTGGGAGGTATTGCCACATCACTTCTATTTTCAGCATTTGAATCATGGCTTGTTGCAGAACACAACAAGGTAAGGGGTCATTGCTTTGCCCACTCGTTATTTTTTTGAATATTTCACTCACATATTCACCTTAGATGTATAGTTTCAGTGAATATGGTCTCTTTGTCTTTAAAGGGTACTATTAGCATGCAGGTTAGCTTAAATAGAAAAGACTTGCTTGCTTGGGGTGCAAATTTTGTTGTCGTTGTATTCTATTTGGATGTCGTTTTTGTTTTTTTCCCACATAGGCAATGAGTTTGATAACCATGTAAGAGCTAGTCAGTCATTTGACTAAGCATTTTTCCCTTGGTTGGGTTGTGGACTGTGTAAAATTGTTTTGTTCTTGGAATGTTACCCCCCTTGTATCAGTAAATCATATATGTGATGTTCCTCTTGACTGTGCAGAGAGGCTTTGAACAACAATGGTTGTCAATAACATTCTCAAAGGCAATATTTCTTGGCAATGGTGTTGTTGCTATCTTGGCTGGGTTGCTTGGAAATACGCTTGTTGATGCACTGGCTCTCGGGCCTGTGGCACCCTTCGACGCTGCTTCGTGCTTTCTCACAATCGGAATGTTTGTAATTCTATTCTCATGGACAGAGAATTATGGAGATCCTTCAGAGAACAAGGATTTGCTTACCCAATTCCGGGGTGCTGCTGTGGCCATTGCTTCTGGTAGAGTCTTAAATATATACTATAAGATATTATTTTTGGATGATAAATTGTGTATGTTTAATTTAATGGTAGACTGTGGTGATTGTTTCTACATGACACATGCTTTTGTTCTGGATTCATCTTGTTTACTAATTGTTTTCTCTTCTTTTTTCCAAACTTTCCTTAGAATAGCCATGTAGTAAGTGGAAAGGGTGATGGGCTTGCACAGAGATTACCTTGTCTTTATTTTGTTCTTCAACATTCTGTTGGTTTCAGTAAACTTTTCCTTTTTTCTTTTCTTTTGAATAGTTATTGTGGTTTGATCCCTATACTAAATCCTTTCTGACCCCTTCACCCCAATAAAAGGAAGTATAAATAACCATTATCCTCTAATCCATTACTGGTGATGTTTATATAGATATAGATATGACCGGCCACGAGGGACTGTAAAGCTCTGACCAGCCACAATCAGTTCATGATTGTCAATCTTTTTTCAACCTCGTAGTTTATTTTTCTGTTATCTTGAAAGAATTTTCCTTTTGTTTTGTTTTACATTTTCTTTTTAACCTTGCTCTATAAGTTATGTGTTTCCTCTTTATTTAGTATTATATTTTGTGTGGTTCAGATGAGAAAATTGCATTACTGGGTGCGATACAGTCTCTGTTTGAAGGTTCTATGTATACCTTTGTTTTCCTCTGGACCCCTGCTTTGAGCCCAAATGACGAGGATATTCCACATGGCTTTATTTTTGCCACGTTCATGTTGTCTTCGATGTTTGGAAGCTCCCTTGCATCTCGGTTGATGGCTCGCCAAGCACCCAGAGTAGAGAGCTATATGCAGATTGTCTTTGCCATCTCAGCTGCCTCTCTTCTGCTTCCCATTGTGACCAGCGTATGTTATGGATTCCAGTGTATTTTTTTCTTAATGACTGGTTTTGCGCTGTTCTTTAACTTTGCTAATTTTGAACAGTTCTTGGTAGCACCTTCGAAGGAGAAAGGAGGGAGCATCTCTTTTGCAGGTTGTATCCAGCTTCTTGGGTTCTGTGCCTTTGAGGCTTGTGTAGGACTATTCTGGCCGTCCATTATGAAGATGAGATCCCAGTACATCCCTGAGGAGGCCAGGAGCACCATCATGAACTTCTTCCGTATTCCTCTCAACATCTTTGTCTGCATTGTGCTGTATAATGTATGTTACAATTCCCGACTTCAAAATGCATTAGACCTGGGAATGTGGGGCGAAGTAGATAAACTGACCCTTAGGTGGTTCAATCTTGTTTTGTGCTGATATAACCTTAAGTAAATTTGAAACCAGTTAAACTCAAATTTCAAAACCAGTTTATCAGAGTACCTTAGAAATAAGATGTTATGAAAGCATGCTCAGTTAAGACCCAGTCAATACCATTAGCAATTCTTTGTGCATATTATTGACTATGGAGCTTGTGGACACAGCGGAGAAATGTTCTACCCAAAAAAAGAAAAGAGAAACAAGAGAATGTGATTGTATCTCTTTCTTTTCTACCCCTCTTCTGTCACTAACTAATTGGTTTTGTTTGTCTTTGAAGGTTGATGCATTTCCGATGACTGTTATGTTTGGTATGTGCTCGATTTTCCTCTTTGTAGCATGTTTCTTGCAGAGGCGCCTCATGGCAATTGCAGACAAGCCTAGTAAGTCCAATTTTCACCCCGTAATCTTTGCCGCCACTATCTGGCACTAAAAGTAAATTGTTTGTCGTATATATCCATGTAGTGAATATCATCTAAAGATCATGCCTCTCGAGTTATAATTACTGTAATAAAAATAAAAATAATACCTACATTGAATCCATGGGTCATACAATAACCTGATCCTAGGCAAACCTCCTACATATATATTGACTTGGATCATCCAGCATCCTATTTCTTGGTGCTTATGGTTGGAAATAACTTGCTTCTGTCAACAGAGACTGAAGATTGGGTAGCAATGAAGGAAAGGGACAGCGAGGCAGAGCCATTAAACATATGAATGATTCTGAGCTGACAGACCACCAGACTTTTGAGAGGTTGAAGACAACGACCTGATTGATTCGTTCAATATACTGGTAAAGTTCCTGTTAACTAAGAATTTATTCGATTTCAAAAAGTGAAGGTTGCAATGTATAAGGACAAGAGTAGTCTGCACAGCAAATATGGGAAGGAAGAAGGGTCGGTTGAACTTCTGTAATTGTTTTTGGTTGTCAAGTCATTACGGTAGTGAATTAGTTATTGCAAAATTTTCGGCGAAGTAATCAGCTCTTCTTGTAACGCCATTGTTATTCTTTTTACAGCATCCATAGCCTATATGTTTCTTAATTACAATTTAAGTGAAACTGTACGATTAGCCAAGGCAATTTTGTTTTATGATCTTTATACAAATTGGTCCCTGTAGATTTGATTCAGTGCTCGAATGCTTTTAAATTTTATGTTATAACCTTTTTCTTCGGGAAGGCACTTAAAAATTGGTTCTTGCATTCCTAGAGATCGAGATATCGTAAGTGGCTTTTAGGCTTATCGAAAAAGAAATAAATAGACGGGTTAGAAATTACAAATAAATTTAATTGAGCCGCCTGGGCAGTGGGCACAATTGGTCCATATACGTTTACGTCTGCATTTGCCCAATTAATATAAGCAAAAAAAATTATTTGAATTCAAAATTGCATTGGTAAGCTTGTTCTTGAAATCAGCTGATCACGAAACAATGCTACATATCCTATTTTCAGTCGGTTCAGCGTTCAGGATATATTTAAAAGGTATAGCCGCCCGGCCGGCTATACTCTTTAAATTAATATTGAAAGAGATTTGAAGAGTATAGCCGCGCGGCTATACGGTTTTGTTTTGGTTAGGCTTCGTAATAGTCCTGAAACAGACCATAGCTACATAACATGAAGTTCCCACGAGTAATAAAACTAACAATAAAAGTCATAAAATTTTACCTTTTTCTCCACTTTCTATGAGAGTCCTCCACAGTTGTGGTCACTGCAAAGGCAGAGTGGGATTGTTTCTTCGATTTAGCTTCTGACACACAGGACTCCTGATTTTGTTTGGGAATTCGAGCTCCTTTCACAGAATCCTCATTATCAATGTCAACGTCTCCAAAGCTGAGATTTTCAGTCCGTATCACCCAGTTAAGGGAATGAATCAAGGTATAGCCAACTGATGTAATGAATATATGGTAAACCCAAGTTCAAATTACAAAATAGCTGGTGGGTACATACAAAAGTAAAATTTTGATGTCGGAATTCACTAAACGAAGACAAATATTAGGATATTCCCACTAGCATGCTTGCCCGGATGATGAATCAAGTCTCCCAATGTTTTCATCTTCTGCTTCACTTAAGTAAGTATCGCTTCCAAAAGAATCATCTCCAGAAGAAGCATTTCCAAAACTGTACCAACTAAAATGTTAGAGATAAATGGAAAGGTAAGCATGATATTAATCGGTGACAAAACGAGAGTTCACTGAAGCATGTGTGGACACATCACAGGAAAGTGTGTGCCTTCTGGATGATCAACAAGCACTCTCGTTTCTTTTATTATTCTTCAGCAAAAAGAAAATATATCAAAATGGTTAATTATCTATTGATAATCTAACTAAAGGTACCACAACATATCATGGAGATAATCGTCTAATAGTTTACATATTTAATATCCGTAGAGGCTACACTCCCACACAACTCATCTGCTGAAAAGCAATGAGTGCATTCACGTCTTCAATAAGTGACGTCAGAATGGACATTGGGCATCAGTGCCCTTTGTAACTATTTGCAATATGTTTCATCCATTTTTTGCCCTTTTTCTTTTGGATGATAAAAACTACTTACTCATAGGTATATCAGACAGGTCTGAAAACGCAAATATGGTAATGCAGCACAAATGTTAAAAACATCTTTTGTTTCCAATATTATCATTCAGAGATGGCCTCAGCACCTATAATGTACATGTGTGTGCGTGTGTGTGTGTGTGTGTGTTTGTATGTTCTTGTACATATCTGTACACCTATATATGTATCTGCTTTGCATATTTAGTATGCGTGTACTTAATTCCTGCAGCTTCTGATCTCTTATGACAGTATCTAGTGAGTGCAATAAAATGTTTAGGCCAGTACTTGAATCGTTTTCCGGCACTTCTTGCTGAATGTCGAACAGTTGTTGCTCGCTCTCATCAAATCTTTGTTTCCATCATCTGATACATTATCTTCAACCTTAACATTTGGGGAATGTTCTGCACCACCTTTAAAGTCATATTCTGTGTGTTGTCCCCGAAACCAACAAATTCCTGAGAGTAGATCACCAAAAATGTTATGTACATTCTATCAACACGACAGACCTATATGAACAGAAACTAACCTCAGTAAGTTCCTTAGGGAAATCAAGTTGGTCTTCTTCACGGTTCTCAGCTTGTGTCCCAATTGAAGGAGTTTACTGCACGTTTGTTTACTGCACGTTTCTGTTAGAATAATGTCCTAGTATTTAGGGACATCTACTTGTATTTGAATTCCAAGTTTCTGTTACCACTTAGCTTTATTTCCGCTAAGTGGG